TTTTTTTTTTTTTTTTTTTTTCTAATGCAGCTTTCTCTTCGGAGTATTACTTGTCGCTGGCTGGTTTGAAACGCCTCAAGGGTATTTAGGTGCTTCTTCCGCGCAACAAGTGCTGGATACGCTGAGCCTCCCAAACTGCGAGGTTTCACTTGTGAAAAGACTCTTTTGTCTCAAATTCCATTATCGCACGTTTGATGGCACATGCAACAATCTCTGCAACATTACAACCGGAGCCGCCTTTACACCGCATGATCGGTTCCCAGGCTTAGATCCTCCTACTGCGTATGAACAACCAGGCAACCAACCTCGGCAATTCTCGTCCGTAAGATTTAAAGGCAAGCGCATTCGCCTCCTAAATACGAGGTTTGTTAGCAAGATAGTGTTTGATAACTATCCAGACCGAGCAAGTTTTACCCACATGGTAATGACGTGGGGTCAATTTTTGGACCATGATCTCACGCTCACTGAATTCACTGTGGGGGTCAACCCACAGCTCGATTGTGGCACGAGCCAGGAACCTTGCCCCAGCCTGATTGAAAAACCTTTCTGCTTCGGAGTCAACATCAGCTCCAGGGTAAGGCTATCGGGCGATCCTCTTGCACGGTGTACTCCTCTTGTCAGGTCAGAGCAGAACAGCCACGGCAATCAGGTAAGTTGTTATCCTTGATGACACCGCGGGGGGTGGGGGTACTCCCATATATGGGCGACATGGGTATGTGCAGTCCCAAAGGATATGGTTTTCAGCCTTTTTGGTCATAAATAGAGAATCGATTTTGGCCATGTTGGTCATAAATAGGGTATGGTGTTTGCACACTAGTCTTGAATTGGGTATGTTTTTAGAAGAAGCTTCATCGTTATTGATAAGACCATCGACAAAACCCTTCCGAAATTACGTTTAGAGCAACTGTGCCAGCCGCAACAGTCATCAATAGAATATCGATTTTTTGGTCAGGTCATTTGTAGAGTAGGGAAAATCGAAGATTTTGGTCATAAATAGGGTAAGGGTTTTTAGAAGCGGGACGCACACCCCCACCCAATTTTTCTGGGAGTACCCCAACCCCCCAGGGATGACACGTAGGTCAGTTTCTGATCTTCTGAGATCACACATTTGTCAGTTTATTATTTTTTTTAAATTAAACGCAGGTCATGGTCAACTTTCTTATCATAGATGACAAATAGATCAGTTACTTATTTAATGCTATCATCTATTTAATAATTACACTTATGTGAATGTATCTTTCTCCAATGTAAGTTGTAACAAAGTTCTGACACAGAAAACATCAAAATACATTATTTTGCGTAACATAAGCATGTCATGTTANCGCGGAGGATGGGGGTTCTCCCATATATGGGCTACATGGGTATGTGCAGTCCCAAAGGGTATGGTTTTTCAGCTTTTTTGGTCATAAATAGAGAATCGATTTTGGCCATTTTGGTCATAAATAGGGTATGGTGTTTGCGCTCTAGTCTTGAATTGGGTATGTTTTAGAAGAAGCTTCACCATTATTGATAAGACCATCAGCAAAGACCCTTCCGAAACTACGTTTAGAGCAACTGTGCCAGCCGCAACAGTCATAAATAGAATATCGAATTTTTGGTCAGATCATATATAGGGAAAAGAAAATCGAAGATTTTGGTCATAAATAGGGTAAGGGTTTTGTGAAGCGGGACGCACACCCCCACCCAATTTTTCTGGGAGTACCCCTACCCCCCCAGGGATTACACGTAGGTCAGTTTCTAATCTTCTGAGATCACACATTGGTCTGTTTATTTTTTAAAATTAAACGCAGGTCATGGTCAACTTTCTTATCATAGAAGCCAAATAGATCAGTTACTTATTCATTGCTATCATCTGTTTAACAATTACACTTGTTATATCTCTCAGTTAGTACGCGCGATGTGATTGGTCAATTTAGCGGGCCGTATTCTCCTGTACGGCCCGGTAAAATTTAAAGCTATTTTTGTTGCCAAAATGTTTCGTGATTTATCGCCAAGTGTTCGTAACTTTTTTAGCAAGTAAAAGGTTAAAACTTTCTTTTACTTCTAAAATTGTGTATTAAAACCTACTAACGACTTAAGAGTCACTTAACATCAAATTGAGCCGTTTTGCTTTCAAGGTGCGTCAGAGATTTGAAGCCGTTCCGCGTGAATAGAAATCGTTCCCGATCCCGCCAGACACACAGTAGAGATATAATAAATATGTTACTAACCTCGTTTTCTCGGTCCGTACTGTAAGTTACGGATCCTCGTTTTCCCCTGTAGTAAATCGATGGGGAAAAACGCGGTCCGTAACTTACAGTACAGACCTCGAACTCGGTTAGTAAGAGGTATTTATGTGAATGTATCTTCCTCCGATGTAAGTTGTAACAAAGTTCTGACACAGAAAATATCAAAATACATTATTTTGCGTAACGTAAGCGTGTCATGTTCATTAGCTATCTCCCCTGTTCAGACTTACACTATTAGGGATTAGTGGAAATCGTTGTATATTCAGTTTTAAATAATTCTGCAGTTTCCTTGGCTTATAGACAGTTTAGCGTGCTTAGCAAAATGAATGGTTGTCTTTCTTATGCTAATTGAACTAAATTTTCCTACGATAGATAAATGAGATAACCGCTCACCTTGATGGGTCACAAGTGTACGGTTCAGATCTCGACACAGCGAACAGCCTTCGCTTCTTCAAACTGGGACTTTTGATAGTTGAACCTTTCATTAACAGCAGCGACTTACCCATTCTTCCAGCACAGGAGTCTGTGGGCGGTGAAGCAGGCTTCTGTAGATCTAACGATACTGAAACTCAGCCTTGCTTCAGAGCTGGGGATCCTCGAGTGAACGAAAATCAAGGTGGGAGAAATTAGAGACTTAACTTTAAATCATGCTGTTAAGAAATCCGAAACTTAGCAAATCTATCAAGAGCCAGCAGGTGAAGCGAAGCATTCTTAATCAATCAATCAATCAATCAATCAATCAAACCTAAGGTATTAGGCGCTGGTGTTTACAATACACATGCGTCTCCGATTAGGCTTGTCTTTCTACTATGTTCCTATTAAACTATAAGCTGACTAAAGACTTTCTTTCGGTTTCTGACGTTTTCTTTAAGTGCAAGGCCCATCACGTCATGAGTGGCCTTTGAGCTGAACAGGCCACCTTGACGGTAAAAATAAATTTTTACTTTACTTTACTTAAATGCCAACACACCACATGACCACCTAACCATTTTATTCTGTTTTTTGACAGCCTTAATGGCAATGCACGCTCTGTGGGTTCGTGAACACAACCGTATTGCCAAACACCTGTTCACTCTGAATCCATCGTGGAAAGACGAGAAACTCTATCAAGAGGCGCGCCGAATCGTTGGTGCCATGTTACAACACATTACATATAATGAGTGGTTGCCAACACTCATCCCCAGTCAAAGATTGGTAAGACCTGCAAGGAATAACATAATGTAATAATTCATCCTTTCTTTTCTCGTTTAAGCAAAAAATACGTAGATATATATTTATTTACAAGTTCTTTTCAAAGGGTTGACATGGACACACACCAAGGGCTTATCCACAAACTTAAAGGATTGATCCGCCTTTTACAGCAAATGCGTAGGTGATGACATCACCGTAGTGATGACCCTTAGAATACGTGCAAAGTACAGTTAACTTCGCTTCGCGAGGATTGCTTTCCTTCGGCAAAGTTATAAAGCGATTGATTCATGCCTCTAGCTGTGCATCAGCAACTTATGATGCAGTTCAGTGTAACGTATAGAAAGTACTCAAGACGCTAAGCTAGTCTTCTTCGGGCAATTCGTACGCTTCTTTCCTGCTCTAGCGCTCTCCAAACTTCGTGCGTGCATCATATCTCGGCGAAACACGCTAAAGCATGAATCAATTGCTGACTTTTTATTTTGATCCGGGGCGCTCCAAGTGAATGGATATTTGCTATCAGCAGTACACCGTATAATCTAAGAGATTCTGAGATCAAACTAGACTTTCCCAAGCCGCGCAAACTGCAAGCGTGGCTTTCACCTATAGCGGGGCGCTATTATGGAATGACCAGCCCGTCTAATTACGGAAATTAGACTTTCATGGACACTTTAAAAGGGAAATTGGCCAACTTGACAACAACTGTCAGCCAGACTCCCACACGGCAATCTTGTAAAACAGTGCAGTGTAGTTATAATTCGACCGTCTTTTGTTTCAGAGACGAAAAGCAGGAGTTGCGCTGGAGGCCGATGGAACATTCTCCAACGATTACGCTCCGGAAATAAATTCTACAATTATCAACTCGTTCGCCACGGCTGGCTTAAGAATAGGCCACACTTTAATTCGGGAGAACTTTACAGTGTCGAGTGGAGTTGATCTCATTGACCAGCTATCCCAATCTCCAGTCGATTTTTTTAACCCAGGACCGCTCAATGATCCAAACTTAGGAGTCAATCCTTATACAGGTCTTTATCTCGGATTGGCTGGAATAAGAGCTGGCGAATTTGATCGGTATGTATTTTGCTATGTTTTGTGAGTCAAAATAAACTGACTGACAATCGGAAAGCAAGAACTTCATTTATCGATTGTCTTTCACCCATGGAGGCAGTGTGGCCGAGTGGTCAGCGTGTCCGCCTCGCAATCCAGCGGTCCCGGGTACGATTCCCGCTCTGACCACTACCTGGATTTGTTTCACGGTAGCCCCG